TTTATAGAGGAACCTACTAATAAAAAGACTCCTTATAAGAGGTTATATAAATAGTTATATAACCTATAAAGATATAAACCCTATCTATGACTACTAAACTCTAAAGTTTAATAATAATCTCTTTAAATAAGGATACCTATATTTAAATCTTTTTATGAATATTCTTCTTTCACACTAGTTTCTAATTCTCACAGATTATAGATCCTTATAATATCCTATTATTTTACTAGTATAGTATCTAGATATAGTAAGCAGTAGCTAGTGTGATGCTATCTAAGTTATATATATATCTATAATTAGAGAAGTAGAATATAATTATCTAGTAAGTAAGCAGGATGGATCTTTAGGGTATAGGATATAATATATAAACTAGTCAGGAGAAGAGGGAGTAATATAGAACTAGATAAATTCTAATAAATTCTAATAAGAAAAAGGGAAAAGTATAATAAAAAGATATAAGAGAAGGAGATAGAGATAATGCTTCTATAGGACTCTTATATAATTAATTAAGGTTAGTTTAATACTTAGTTACTTAGACAGAATGAAATAACTAGGGAAGATAGTTAGGGAAAGGTAATTAAATAAACCTAGAGGGCCCTAGAAGGAAAAAAGGGTGTACTACTAAATTATTATAATGGTAGTTATAAAACCATAAAAGGTGGTGATGGATTTTGTTGATCATTAAAAGATAATTCCTTTTACTATGGCTTCTGCTATAGGGATATCTTATTATATCACATAACTCCTTGGCACATATGGTGGTAGGACCATAATATTTACTAGCTAAGTATTAGCTACTAAGGTACTAAGATTTGCTATAATTACTTTAAAAAATTAGTATAATAAGTAATATAAATTAGTTACCTTCTGTAAAGATAATAAGGTCTTACTTAAGCTATATGTAGGATATAATATATAGTCTATATTAGGCTATAAACTTAGAAATTTGTATACTAAGCTATTTATGATAATAAAGTATATAGATTCCCTTACATATAGACTAGACATTCCTAATAACTAGAGGATATACCCTATAGTGTTAGTTGCTTATCTTAAAAAATACTATATTAATAATTCTTTTAAAAGATAACCTACTTAGCCTAGACCTATTAACATAGAAGCTAATGCTAATAAGAAGTTCTAGTTATAGAAACTTAAGAAGATAATTAATGAATATAAGATACTAGAGAAAGATTACTTAAAAGATAAAAAATAACCAGAATATCTGGTAAAATAGTTAGGTTAAGGTGATGAATAGAATTAATAGATATGAGTAGATTTATTAAGTAATACTACTAAGCTAATAATTAATTTTAAAGCTAGAAGATAGTAAATATTTTATTTTTAAGTATTACTTATATTATTATTAAATTTTAGTTAGCTATATATACATTCATCTATTCTAATATATACCTTATTCTTTATTTATTTATTTTTTATTACTTATTTTCCTAGTCTTTTACTTTTACTTTTAGCTTACCTTATTAAATATATCTCTTCTTACTCCTTTACTTACTTCACTATTATATCTTTTCCCTTATTAAGCCTAGCTATATATCTTTTATCTTTCTAGCTATATATCTTTCCTCTAAATAATAGCATAAACTCTAGTAAAGAAGAATAATTAGAGGGATAAGACCCTAGCTAAGAAAGTAAAATAAGAAATAAAAGATACTATAATCCAAGAAGTATAAGAGGCATAATATATACTATTTTAGATTTTATTAATATCTCTAATAGTAGGTATTACTATTTATAGGATAGTAATAATAAGCCCTCCTCCTATATATCTAAAATTTAATAATATTAGTATTCTAATACTACCTATTAGAATCATCACTAAATAGCTATATTAGTACCTTAAAAACCATAATATCTTTATTTAATAAACCTATATTTCTATCTTTTAAAGAATAAAACTAGAGCACCCTAGTATAAAATATATATATCTAGAAAAGCACTACTAAAAGATTTATACCTCCTACTAAATAACTATTTAGATATTAAGCTACTCTAAATAGTAATTTAAGGGCTAAAAAATACTTTATAGCTTTAGATAAAGTATAATCAGAATATAAGAAGTATATATTTAGCTAGATATTATAGAGAGCTTAATAGGAAGTAGATATATTAAGCTATGTAAAGCCTATTATAAGAACTACTATAAAGAATTATTTAAGTACTCTATCTAGTAAGTTATTTAATCCTTTTTACTTTCTCTAATTAAGTATAAAAAACCACCTAGTTATATTATTAGTATAGATAAGACCTAGAGACCTACTATTACCTAACTAGCTAGAATATTAACTTAAGGATCTTACTACTAGTATTATAGATATTATCTAGAAGCTGATACTACTAATAAAGCTAGTAATTCTAACTCTAATTAAGAGGAAACTTTAGATTAAGTATATTAATAAGAATAATAAGAATAATAAGAATAATAAGAATAATAAGAATAATAAGAATAATAAGAATAAGTAACCTAAACTACCTATAATTTAATATACTGATAATATTAAAGATTTTATAATATAGTTAGTAAAATAATATATAAAGTAGTTTAAGTAATAGCTATAATATTCCTAGGATTCTTTTGTATTTTATAATCTTCTTAAAAATTTCTCTAAGGGATATTAGCCTAATAATATAAAATATCTTATTAATAATCTTATAATTAATTTAAATACAACTACTAATACTAATAAGATTAATAATACCTTCTCTTTTAGAAAATTAGTAATAGTAATACTATATAAGATCATAAGATAGGGTCTTTATAAATAGTTAATTTATACTAAATAAGTAAGATATATACTTATTATGATATAAAATTAATATCTAGCCTAGGTAGTAGGTAATTAGAAAGACTTACTTTATAATAACTTATCAAACTAGAATATATTAGTAAAGGTCTTAACTACTTTTAAAAAATAGGCTTAGTATAAAAAGCTGAGGGTTAAATATGTATTTCTAAATTTACTTTTCTAATTATTAGCCACTAAATTAATATTTAGGCCATACCTGCATTATACCTGCATTACTAGTAAATTTTTTTCCCTTATTCTTTATATCTTACTAGGATATTATTACAGCAAGATTTATAAGATAAGCATGATAGGTAGATAAACCTCTTTGCCTTACTAAAGAAGATAAAAAAATTAATCATCTTCTTAATATCTTCGCACAACCCATACAAATGGGTTTACCAATTAGTCTTTATTTCTTCTCTCCTATCTAAGTCTAAAAAATATATATTTAAATAATAAAGTAAGGGCCTATAGGATTCTTTATTTAATTTTTTTATAGTAATTATTATAATAAGTTATTCTATCTTTACACAATCTTTTTATTTAAGTCTATTTAAATAGTACTTTATAATATGCCCCTTTATATTACAGATAAAATAAACTTATAGGATGTTAAAAGAATAGGGCTATAGGCGGTATCTTTTTACAGATAAAATTATTTATATTAGGTCTTGTTTTCTCTATCCTCTTACTAGTAATATAATATATAAGAGGCTTTAGTATATTTTTAAGATTTTAATAATCCTTATCTTTATATAAGGAGTCCTACTAAGTATTCTACTTAATACTTAGATATAATCTTATAGATAAAAAGATATCTTGTTCTTAGTCTTTAAGAATTCCAAATATTTATAGATCTTCTACTTAAATATTATACAGAAGAAAAAGAAAAAATATAATTATATCTTCTTTAGATTTTTTATATTATCTCTAATTTTAATCTATTATTTATACTACCTTTATTAATATATATAGTTTTTTTCATAGAGTCTTATTTAGAATATCTATAATTATATCTTCTATTTATAATTCTTTCAGTTACTTAATTAAAATTTTAAAAGGATATAAAACCCTCTTTATTCCTAATTATAAAAGTCTTAGATCTTACTTTATTAAAAATTAAAAAATATATAGTTTAATTAAGCTATTATAATCTTTATATTTTTTATTTTATTTTAGCTATCAGTATTTATAGTAGACTTCTAACGTATAATAAAAATATAATAAAGCATATAATTATGGATTAAGTATTATTCTAAGTTTAGTAAAAATTAGATTTAGATATTAATCTTCTTTATAAATAATAAAAATTAATTATCCTAATCTTATATTTATAAATAATTTTTTAGGCTTATTCTTGGATTATTATAAAGCTTCTAGATCTTTTATAAAACTTATAATTCTTATTAAAGATACTCTTTTATAAAGATTACTCTTAGTACCTTTTAGTTTACTAAATTAGAAAAATCTTATAAATCTAACTTATATTTAAAGCCTTTCTTCTTATAGATTATATCTTTATTAGTTAATTAGCGTTATATATATATAAATAAGAATTTACTAAATTACTTGGATCTAATTAATATTTTTTATAATATTATTTTCTTGATAAACTAATTTTAAAAAATAAATAATAAAATATAAAGATCCTAAATCTGTAAGAGCTAGTAAACTAATATATAAAAAGAATATTTATATATAGATTTAAAGATAGATATCCTTATTTAAGGAGATTATTATTATATTCTTAAGTTTAGTAATTATAGGTAGTAATTATAATCTTTATATATTATATTACTACTTATATAACCTCTTATAGGGGAGTCTTCTCTTAGATACGCTCCTGTATAAAGATAACCCTGCTATATATATACAGGACCCTTTACAATCCTTACACATACTAAGTGGGTATATCACTAATATAGTGAATACCAATCTATGACATACCCTAATACTAGGATAAGTCTACCTACAACAATCCTTATACCTTTCAGGTCTAGTATGTTGAGTGAATAGCCATAGTTAATGAATAGTCCCTGCCTTTTGGACTCAATAAAATGCCAAGGTCTGACACTACATCCATAGACATCATATGTTGTGTTTCAGCCACTGTTGTCCCTCATTGCAGTAAATGATTAATATGACTTAAAGTGAGCAGCTTGACACCACAATTCTCCCTAACTGCTAGGACTATCCTTCTCCACACTCTTGCTTCATTTGAGATATCTCTTTAATAAGGGATTCATTCAGCAAGGCCTGTCTAGCCGCTGCATCTCCAGCGATCGCTTTGCTTGGACCCTGCCCCGAACCCAGGTGTCGATTATGCCAGCCCCAGCCTGTAAGATATAGTGCAATATGAAACGTCTGCACACCACCAGATGGTCGTGAAGGCGGATACTCATCAATATACCTGAGCTTAATCCCTTTTGCCATGATCTTCTTTGCAAGGGCTTCCTTTGCATCCAAACGCGGCTGTCGCAAGGCAGTGCATCTAAGTTTTGGAAGCCAGAGTTGCGTTAACCATCGCTCAGCGACACTGTAGCCATCCAACGGACGAGACAGGATGACCGCAGCTACATATGACTCGAAGATGTCGCCTTTGGTCTTTGTCCAGCGCTTTGGTTGATTTAAATAATCATGCGGTACTGCTGCTCTGCTGTCGAACCCATACAACGCTGCAAACTCCGATAGAGTTTCGTTCTTCACCAGTAGCTCTCTCATTTGAGATATACGCCCAGAAGAGAGGTCTTTAAACTCATTCCAGATAAGTTTCGTGGCAATCAGCTCTATGTATGCATCTCCAAGTATCTCAAGCCGATCGTACGTTGAATTGAGATCTTTGCCCACGCCGGGGTGCGTGAACACTGCCATCTCCATTGTACCGTCTAGTATTGGGGGTAGTGTTGGCAGGCTGGGATCATTGGCCGTCTGTAATAGTCTAGCGCGCCCGACCATTTCTTCGGTTGATGTGTCAGAGGCAGCAACATTTGGAGGACACAGTACCGTGTGTAGCCGGGCAATCGCATTTATAACATCAGATCCAGCGTCAATTTGCTGAAGATCGTCAGATGAGACAATAACCCGAAGTAGTTCCCTCAATACGCCAAGCCGAGACGAACTTCCCTGGTTGTACGAATCTCCGCCATCAGAACCTTTACCAAAGGTGTCTCTTTCAACCTGGCGGCATAGTTGATCCGCAAGTTCGGGAGGACCGCTTAATCGAGAATCTGCCTTGATTCTCTTGGGAGTACTACTCGAGGGCTTTTTGGAAACAGATTTCCTTTTTGAACTCATTTGTGTTGTGTGCTGCGGCATGTATGAAAACTCGAAGTTTGTCAAGGGCAGTGCCATGTGTTGTGGACTTAGTCCATGACCAACCGCCCACGTGACACATTCAGTCAGTGCTTCTTAGGCAAAGCACAGTGTTCTCAACACAGTACTAACCATACAGCCCTCACATTAACAATGGCGGCCTTATGCAACCGGCTACTTGATTTGACCAGTGTATGTTGAGTAATTTGACTTATCGTAGTCAATCGCATAGGCTCCACAACCACTGACAGTCATGCAGGCACAATGTCGTATATTCTCAGCAAGTTTCAACCCTCAGAGGCTGCGTCTCGGTAACAACGTTCTGCGCCAGCGATTGCGTGGTCCCGTAATTGCAGCCTGGTATCCCAAGAAGACTGTATCATTTCGGGACCTGGAGAAGACGTACCGTCCCCTTGACCTGATCACATTTGATGAATATGAGGACGATAGGGAGGAGGCGATCCAGGTGTATGTCATTCCCGTGGCCCGGGTACGGCTCCTGCTTATTATTGCTACTAGTGCGAAATTACGAGGAAAAGGGAGGCCAAAAAAGAAGAGGACAGCAGCAGGTATGATTCTGTGACAAGACGGTGACATACTTTATTCTAATTTTGGTGTCTAGAATCGAGATCGGCGAAGAAGAAGAAGTAGGTGATGTCAGGAAACTGTCTAACAATTGCTTGGGACCCCTATGTATCATACCAAAAAAAATCCGCAATTATACAGTATTTGGATTTATCAAGGCGCTACTCACCAGGATGCTACAATCCTTCTATCCTATGACAGTGGCTGCTCAGTCTACTGTCATCTAGGCAGGTAGCTTACTGGGCTATACACCTGATATTCAAGATGCAGATGATGCAGGAATTTCCATAAAGATCTTGTTGTTATGACACCAACACCACCAGGTAATTATCATGGGCAGAACTAAGGGGTAAGGATCACTAATTAATACTAGAAGGATCCCTAAGTGCTCTATAAGAATACATACTCTAGATATGCTTCTATAGGAAAATAGTTTCTTAGTACATTACTAGATAGTATAGCTAATAAGTATGTTAAACACCTATTAGTACAGTAGTAATATATTGCTATTATAGAGAACTAATCGAATTTTTTGAGTGCTATTAGAAAATGATAGACTGTTATTATTAAACATTATAGTAGTACTATAGTAGATACCTTCTGCATAGTTTAATATAATATAGTCTTTTAGGCTTAGTGCCATCCAATTAGAGCAGGTAGTAAATAAAATAACTTGGAATTTATATAATTTTAGTATAATAATTATACTAATAATATAATTATTATAACAACTATAATAGGCTTAGCACCTCTATAATAGGGCTAGTATCTATATAGTACTAGCCTAATATGATATGTGGCTTACTTATAGTAAAAGATATTATATATGTGATTCTGATGGTAGTTCAACTCCAAGTAACTACTGAATTAAAACTAAAGTATTCCTCTAGGTAGGGATAAATAGTATTTAACCTATCTAGATACTAATCTTATATTCTTATCTGTACATAAGATAATTCCTACACCTAGTTTAGTATATTTATATTCTCTTTTTCTATTCTTTAATTAGATAGATAGATAGTGTAGAATATTATAAATAATAATACAGAACTAAAGAAAAGAGAGATAGGTAGGTAACCCCCTAATATTGATTATTAATCTTAACTAGTACTCTACTATAATATATTATATTTAGTAATATATTTAAAGAAGAGTATATTATCTATCTATAACTACTTAAAAGGACTAAATCCTATATATAAAAGTAACTACTTATATTTTTTTTTAGTACTGAGATATAATAATTACAATATTTTAATTGCTTAATTATCAATTAAGGAAAAAGGGGAGGCTATAACACTTAAAAAATATTAAAAAATAAATAAATAAATAGTAAGTTACTACCACCTTATAAGGCCTAACTAAAATATATTAGATTTAGAAACTTCTAAAATCTAGAATCTTAAATTAAGAAATTACTAATAAAAATAAGTAGCCTTAATCATCTATATATAATATCTATAAAGAATAAAGAACTAGGATAGAGATTATTAAATTAAGAATTATTAAACTAGATTGTATAGTAATTATTTAAAATAATAACCTAGTAGATTCCTCTTATAGATATTAATTCCCTATACTACTAAATCTATATTAAGATATAAAAAGTTAAGATAAATGCACTAATATCTAAATAAGAGATCTCTTCTAAATATATTATTAGTTTAAGATTTTAGAGTCTATATAAACCTTACTAAGTAGAGAGTAATTAAGATATATACTAAATTTAGTTAGATTAATTAATTCTAATAGACTAATAGCCCTATGCCTTAATTAACTTACTTAACTAATATTTAAGATCTATAATTTAGTTCTACTACTACAATATAAAAAAATATATATTAAAGATATTATATAAGACTAGCTAAGAAGAATTAAAGAATATTTTTAAGATATACCTTTAATTATAGGATAAGATCTTTCTAATACTAAGAAACTAGTAATTATTAAATAAAGGCTAATAAGATAAGCTTAAAAATACTAGAAAATAGATAAAATAAAGATATCTTGTAATCTAATATAAAGTATTTATATAGTAGAATAGTTTTAGAAATGAATCTCTTAATATTTTAAAGAATATAATACTAATAATAAGAGATAGATAAAATATAAAAAGATTATATAAGATATGTATAGTATT